CCCCCCCCCCCCCCCCACCCCACCCCCTCTACCCAACGAAAAAACACGTGCAGGGGCGAGTGAAGCTGGCGGACTTTGGGTTAGTCCGGAGCCTCAACGATAGAGGCACGAACACTAACGCCAACGACGACGGTGGCGACGCAGAAGGTACAGTAGGTGCAGGTTGGTAGCATACACACCTGCGATGTTGTCGCGACGTCCCGATACGGCGAGAGCCTTGCCAGGTTTGTACAATATTCACACCCTGTACAAGTACAACTAGACAATACCAGTTGTGTAAGGGTTCCAACTACCCGTAGTTGAACGGAATAAACTATTTGCACGAGATTCTGAGACTTCAGGGCTGAAATCTCAGAATCTCAGAATCTCGTGCAAATAGTTGATTCCAATCATTTAAGTCTCAATAAATCTTGGGCAAATAGGTGATTCCAATCAATTCTCAGAACCTTGTGCAAATAGTTGATTCCAATGAACTCCTTTAGTTGATTGCCCAAAGACATACAATGTACAACCACCGTAGTTGTACAGGGTGTGGAATTTGTACCGCGAAACGATTCGTGAGCACTATAGCATGGCTTGCACCTCACGGCCCCCTTCCCCGCCGCCACGTAGGATTTCCATCGAGTAGTGAAATGCATTCCTTGCCCTTTGAGCGTTTCCAACCGTCGGCCTCTCTCTCTGGTTGTCTTTCTTTCCCTGTCTCTGTCTCTGTCTCGCTATTTCTGCGTGTGTCGCGCCCTCTCTCTCCCCCTCTCTCTCGATTCCTCTACCCCTCTTCATCGCCTTTTCAGAGGGGGCCGGCGGTCGACGAGCTAGCCGCGGACGGGCGCACTCTTTCGTGGGAACGGCCATCTACATGTCCCCGGAGAGGTTGCAGGGAGAGCCCTACGGCCCCTCCGCCGACGTGTGGAGCCTGGGCTTGAGTCTACTCACGCTGGCGATTGGGAAGTACCCGCTAGAGGTTAGTGTACATTGTGGTGAACCCCTGTGTGTGCTCGTTGTTGGTACTACTGTGGGTTGTGTGTGTTTGTTCGTCCCCGCCTATTCTGGCGTTGGCCTCCACACGTTTTTCGGTGTGTTTACATTTCTGACGTATGAGCCGGGGTGACACCGGAGGAAGGTCCCACAGGCGCCTTTCTTTTTCTGTGTGTGTTTTCGGAGCCCAAGCGCCGTTCTTACATTCTTCTTTCGAAATTCGTACACTTTTGCACGCCAACCCACGACGAAGGCAAGCTTCTTGCGCCTTTGCTAACCTTAAAAGGCGATACACGGGAGGTGTGCTGCTTGACGCAAACACCATTGCAGGCTATCCACCACGATCGTGAGACTAAACCCCACCCCCGACCCCCCACCCACACCTT